TTTATTCAGAATACTATTTTTATGATGTATTCGAATACATATTCGGAATACTATTTTTCMTGARTATTCGAGTATTTATTCCAAATACTTTTAAAAAGTATTTTACCCGAGACTGGCAAATGGCAAATTGATTATTGATATACATAAAATATGTACATCTAGAATAGCCACTTACTCTAGCCGTAGAATATCCAATATCCAAGGATGAGATAGACATGACAACAATGATAGAAAGTTGGGAAACCCTTAAAGAACGAYGAATAAATGTATAATCCACAGTTATTGTAAAAACATTGTTATTATTTTCAATTTGTATAATATTATATAGAATATAAATACTTGGTGGCTGGTGGAATTCTTAATTTAATTATTTACTTTTTACCTTTACCAACATTTTAATAAAAATCATATTCCTATAAGTGCCTAATGATAAATAATAATATACATATATTTTAATGTTTATTGCATTTGATTTTAGTCTAACCATGCATAATATGTACTTATGTAGTTATAAGTAGTATTTGATTTACATTAAAAAATTGTTTTAAAATTACATTTAAATAAATGTATTCCCAATAAAGCAATACATTTATTAATTTTCTTCTTTTTTTTATGAATTAATTAAATTCATAGCCTTATTGTGTTTATTTATTCTTCATAAAATTCAAATCGTAAGCTAGTTTAACACTTAAACTTTAAAAAAAAAATAGTCCAAAAAACTAATGATCTCCTATTACATTTTATAGATTGTAGATTACGATAAAAATAAAATGATAAATTTAAAATAAACTGTATCCATTTATAAACAATGATATTTTTTAATTTTATTTGAAAAAATTAATTATAGAAATAGCAACTGACGAGGTATAACAATCCAGTAAAACCCCTTCATGCACCCTCAAAATATCTCGTGCATCAAAATATCCCTCGTTCAAAATGTCCCACGTTACAAATATCCCTGCTACAAATATCCTTGTTACAAATATCCTACGTTGAAAATATCATATATATGTTAGCGGCAATGTGTATAATATTGGTATTTTATAAAATGTCTAGGAATTATATATAACACCAACTACAGCTGGCAATTTATAAAAAWTTTTAAATTACCTAAGCATTATATTAAATCCATATTRTCAGTACCTATTGATATTTGACAATGTAACTTCACCTAAAATAAATCCATTAGTAATCTGTAATATCAATAAATTTAATGAAGTAGAATTCCTGGACA